TCTGCACGGGCTTGGGGTGGGAGGGAGGATTCTAGAGGCTGGGGTGGGAAGGGCGGAGGCTGGAAGAGGGGTGGATTCTTTCCACCTGGACTGTTGATTAGTTAGTTGAGAAATATCTGAGTGCCTACTGCCTGCCTGGAACAAAAGACGGGTCACAGAGACTGGGGCTCTGTGTGTGTTTGGAGGAGACGGGGGCTGCATTCCTGCGGGCGGAGTTTGTGCCATTTCAGACATGGTGAAGTAGAGGCAATGAGGAATGAGCCACCTGCCCAGAATCACATACCCTGTAAGTGGTTGGAGTCTCTGACCCCCAGATTCATGTGCTGTGCACTCCAGTAGGGTTCAGGCAGCGGTAATGATGGTAATGGTTCCTGGTAGAGGTCACCTGTCTGGTCCTTCCCAGGGTTTATGTCATAGCCCTAAGGAATGCAGGTGCTGTTACTACCCCCATCTTACCAGGGAGGAAGCAGGGTGGCCAGAAGTGGGGGCACATCATGGGCAGTGAGAAGAGGGTGGAAGGGCAAGCCTGTGTCCCAGTTCCCCCCTCCCCAATCCCCTCTAGGTTCCAGTCGGGTAAACATCCAGCAGCAGCCTTGGGGAGGGCAACCTACTGGCCACTCTCTGGGTGGCAGAGGAACCAGACAACCCACAGCCTCCGTGGGGAGTAAAATGAATCTGCAACTAACTTGGATTCTGGACAACACCAAAGCAGGGCTGGAGAACAGACACTGAGGAGGGCAAAATTACAGCTGGTCATGGAGGGCTTCCTGATGGAGAGGGCTTTTGCTCTGGACCTTGAGGACTGGGTGGATCTGCCCAGCATGGAGTGATTGGGGTTGTCACTGACTGAGGGAGTCTGCGAACCAAGGGCATGACCAGGAAGAGCAGGCAGAGCTTATAAGAAGATGGAGGTAAACTAGGAGGGTGAGCCTTGAGTTCCCAGCTAAGGACCCACCTGTCCAGAGAACAACAGCTGGAAGTCCGTGCAGGTGTCTGGGAAGAGGGGTGTGACTTGATCTGGGGGCTGTAGAGGTTAGTCTGGCCACTTTTGCAGGGTTTTGGAGTTGCGGACTGGGATGGAATACCTGGCCTCTGCACTCTCACTGGCAGTGTCCCTCAGAAAAGTCACTTTACCTCTCTGGGCCTTACTTTCCTCATCTGTTCAAGGGAGTAATAACAGTTTTCTCACAGGATGAGCTTACTGAGCCTTTCAGAGCTGGGTGGGCTCAGACACAGGCCCTGGACAGCCATCCCGGCCCCACAGCAAACCAGCATCCCAGCCACAGCAGCTGTTTGGGGCCCTGGGAGCCCCTGCCATTGTGAAGAGGGCACAGGAGACAAAGGCCTGGGAGGTCAGGGGGTAAAGCCCAGGCTGGCTGTGAACAGGCTCCTGGGGATGGAACTTAATGATGCAGAACTTCATGACCCAGAGTCTGTGGGGAAGGGGAGGAGGAGAAGGGAGGTCCAGCCACCAGCTCTCTGCTCCAGGGTCCCCTGCCAAGGAAGGGCAGCTTCCTGACAGGTTCAGGCCTGAGCTTGGCACCGTGGGAGGCAGAGGTGGCAGAGCCCACCAGTCTGCAGTCCCAGGCCTGAATTTGGGGATTGGCCCTGCCCGTCAGCATCTGTGTAACCTCAGTCCCCTCATCTGTCAGATGGGCCAAGGATCCACTTTGGAGGGCAGCTGTGAGGCTTGGCAGTAACCGACAGCAACTGGGCAGTAAACAGGAACTGCTTTTCTTGCGCTTTATTCATCCATTCATTCAGAAAGATTCACTGCTCCATGCCAGGCTCCCTGCCAGGTGCTGGGGACACAAAGATGCACAAGTCCAGTTGCCTTGAAAGGTGGTGAGGCCTCAGATACAGTCACAGTACAATGGGTTAGTCACCACAATACAGGAATTCACAGTGTATAGGCAGTGTGCCAAGAGTGAAGGGACAGCAGTGAACAAGCTAGGTCTGGCCTCTGCCCTCTGGGGCCCCCAGTCTCTCCAAGCATGCTAGGAAAAGAGATAGAAACCATTACTTCTGGCTGGGGTAGCCAGGGAGGGCTCCCTGGAGGAAGGAGGCACTTTTGGTTGCTGGCTTCGGGGACTTCCACCTAAACCCCTTTGCTTATCATGGGAATCACAGGACACTGTTGGCATCTGCTGTGTGCCAGACTGAGCTTCCTACTTTGGCATTGTTCTTTCATTTAATCCTCATATGGTTCTGGTTCTGGGAAGGGTGTTTTTATCCCTGTTGTATAACTGAAGAAACTGAGGCTCAGCAAGATGAAGCAGCCGCCCAGGGCTACATGGCAGGTTAACAGAATCCTCTTTGTTATCTATGCAAGCTTTTGCCTGTCCCCTGCTTGTGAGGGCACTGGGCTGGGTGGGGCCATCATAGGAGGTCCTTGAGCAGGGATTGAAAGGGCCCAGTTCTGGGCCAACTGTTGTCTGTATGACGTGCATGACCTTGAGCAAGTCACCTCCCACCCCAGCCCAGCCTCAGCTGTGTTCTCTGTAAAATGTCAAGGATGGCAGTCTGTGGCAGGCCTGGCTGGCCTTATACTCTTGTGCCCTTGGCAGACATTGTCAATCAACCGCTGCCCTCTTCCCCTGCTGAGTTCTTCCCCTGACCTTGGGTTCTTTCCAGGGCTCTGGGCAGGCAGCACCAATCAATCAGTGGGGCCTATGAGCTGAAGCCTGCTTGCCTGCCTGGCCTTGAGCTCAGAGGTTGCTCTGTCCTGTCTCCATGTGGTTCAGAGGACCAGGGTACCAAAATGAGGGATTCTGGGGATCTTCTTTAAGGGTATAGATTCTTTAGCCACAAGAGCTATTGAGTGTGAGAGTTTGTTCCCTTCCTCCAATTCCCAGAAAGACCTGTACCCATGAAGCCCAGCATGTGCTCATTGCAAGCACTCTGGGAAGATTCTGGATGATTTTCAGTCTAGATAATAATAATAGCATTTATTGATCCCTTCCTGAGAGCTAGGTCCTTCATGGGTACCCCATGTTCATCATTTTGCAGATCAACTGCAGTGTGCCTCTTAGCACTTCTAGGAAAAAGGCTGAACCCATTTTAGAGGTGAAGAAACCAAGGCTCATAGTTGGTAGGCAGAGTAGGGTTGTACACTTGCCGAGTGGCTGAGCTGGCATTCACACCCAGGTCTCAAAGTCCACAGCCTGAGGCAGAGCTGAGGGTGGCAGGCAGGGCAGCCTTCCTGGAGGAGGTGTCATTAAAGCCCTTATTGGCTAGAGGGCTTCTCACAGGCAGCGCTGGGCCTCCTAAGAAAGGGAGGGGAGCCCTTCTAGGTGGAGGGAACAGCATGAGAAGCAGCTCAGAGGAAGGCAAGCAAGAGTGCCTAAGTTGAGGGACTAGTGTGTGGCTGGAATGTGGGGAGAGAGGGCCCACAGAGGGAGGCAGGGCTGTCTTTGCCTTTGGACTTTTGCCCTCCTGTAGCAGGGAACTGTGGCAGTTCTTTGAATAGATAAATGATCTGGTCCCAGTGTGCATATTCAATATTTCCACAACTCTGGGGTGAGGTCAGCTAGTGCTTGGGGCTACCTCTGGTCTATTGGAAGCTTATGCCTAGAACACTGCCTGGCACTCAGTAGGCAGACAACCAAGAAATGCTTGTTGAATGAATAAATGAATGCTCACTGGACCAAAATGCTTCTTACCTCCCTGTGGGCCCAGCTACAAGGAGAAGAGGCCAAAGTCCCTCTCTCCAGGACAAGTTGAACACTGGGCCTGGGCGTTGGGGCTGAGGAGGCAACCAGGCTGGGGCAGAGCTTCTCTCCCAGCACCACTGACCCTACTGCCTGTTCTCAAGACCCTTACTAGACCTTCCTGCAGGGCTGTCCATGCCTGGCGAGCAGCCTGGACCCAGCACTTGGGGGGATAAAAGATGAAGGTTCGTGACCATTTTTTAACTCAATAAAGGGGAGAGACAAGCTGCAGGCTGTAGGCCGGAGATATAATTAGTTCGCAGCAGTGGTGCTTTCTTGATTTAGCTTCTGAGAGAACAAGACAAGGATGTTATACCCAATTAGCAGTAACATCCATCTTTTCTTTCCCAGCTTGGGTTGGGGGAGCAGTATCAGGGCCTTATTTCTTTTCATCAGGGAATAATTATTAGCGATCTCAGGATTTCCCAAAGCCAAGTGATGCATTTGCTAACCCAAACAAGCAAGCATCTCAGGGCAGCAGCTGGGGTGGCAGGCTGGTGTTTTGAGTCCAGTAGTGGAAGGGGTGCAGGCCCCTAACCCCCCCAGATGCCGAGAGTTCATTGTTTTGGCAAGGGAAGCCCAGGTCCTTGAGATATTCTCAGTGCCTGCCTCAGTTTCCATACCTGCCTCAAAGAGGCATAAGGAGGCTGGGCCAATTCCCCTAGGGATGAGGAAGGAGCTGGTTGTGGCCCTTGGCAGCTCTTCCTGGCACCACCTTTCTTCCAGCTGGGCCAGAAGCTCCGACTCTTGAACCTGCCATTGCACTCCACCTGCTAGACCCCCATTATAGCTTGCACTGCCCAACCACCCTCCTGCCTGTCCTGGGTCCCAGATCCAACCTCTGGCAAGGGCTGAATCATGACTAGCTCCACACCCCCCTCCTCATTACCCCTGCAGCCAGAGCACCAAGCACTGGCCAAGTCTTTGCTGGGCAGGGAAGCCCTGCCAAGCCCCACCCCAGCTGCCTGGCTGCACTCCGACTACTGGCGAAGGCTAGGGGATGCCCAGAGAGGGAGTTGGCATGGCCATTGTGACATCCCATCAGCTCGGGCCCCAAGCCCAGAGCAGGTTCCTGGGCCTCCGCCCATCCTGCAGAATCTGGCCCCACCCCACCCTGAGTCCCATCTCCCTGTCAGTATGGAGCCCCACACTCGTGGTTCAAACAACTGACAGATCCAGCCATGCAAAGTGGGAGTTTAATTGCAAACAGTTTTTATGGATCATGGGCCCATCTGTGCCACCATATGCAAAAGGGAAAAAAATCCCCATTAAAAAAAAAAAATTCTCCCTACCCCACACCCCAAACTGACTCCAAAAGAAACAGTTGCCAAGGTTTTTCTGGCTGGAGCCAAGCATGGAGCTGGGACCCTTCCTGGGGACTTCCTGCAGGGTGAGTCTGGCAAAATCAGGGCTGAGAAGGCCCTGTCGGGCCTGACTGCTGAGAGGAGCCCATGACCTTGACCTCCACACCCACCAGCAGTTCTCGAGCCTGCTGGCTTCTCTCGCAGCTCCGGGCCTTTGCTTGTGCCACGCAGCCATCCAAGTACCCACTGTTCTTTCTCAGCCACCTTGCTGTTTGCATGGCCTCTAGAGCAGGACTTGGCATGGAGTGGGCACTGCACAGCATGGGAAGGTGGAAATGGACAGCGCTGTGGGCTTCCTTCCCATTTCTAGCCCAGGAGGATGAGGCTGTCCAGGCGTCAGAAGACTCCCTTCTTCCCAGTGGCCCAGGCCTCCTGCATGGTGCCCAGCCCAGCTTGGCAGATGAGCGCTACCCAAGGGCTCAGCAATCTTTAGGCCCTTAGAAAGGGCTTCCACCTGGGGCCTGGTCTTTAGGCGGTTCTGAGAGGACTCACCTCTGGGCAGCCTGCCAGGATTCAGCTGCCATGCCATCCATCCCAACTGAGTGACTTCAGATTATCATTTCTCCCTCTCCGTGCCTCAGTTTTTCCCTCTGTAAAATGGGATAAGAAGTCAATGAGATGGTGCATGTGAAATGCTTTTATATCTGTCATCTCTCTTCCCCAAGGAAGGTCACTTTGTTCACCAGTGTCTTCCCTAGTTCCTAATCAGGACACTCAATGTTTACTGAATGAATGAATAAGTGAGGTATTTGGAATACTCTCTGGGAGAGAATGGGACACAGGCTTCTTTGACTTGCTAGAAATTCAGGGTTTTTACACCCTTTCTTTTGGCGTCTAGAAATGGCTCAGAAACCTGTGGGGATTATGAACTCCATTCTACAGATGAGGAAAACGGAAGCTCAGAGAGACCAAGGGACTGTCCCAAGGTCATGCAGCTGGAAGGGGGCCAGAGCTGGGACTGGAACTCTGAGCCATGTGGCTTCTAGTGACCAAGTCCCTGCCCCTCACATTCTAGGTGAAGAAGGATAGGCCCAGAGTGGAGAAGGGATTTTGCCAGTGTCACCCAGCAAGGAAATAGTTGCCAGCATTTGTGGGGGCCTTCCTACCCCCAAGTAAGATAAGGAAACTGAGGTGCTCCAGCGTCAGAGCCAGGCCAGCCAAATCAGATCCAGGTCTGCACCCAGGATCACTGAACCCGTGGGCTTCCCCATCAACTTTACAAGCTGGCAGCAGAGTGGGTGCCAGCAGCCAGGCCCCATGCAAGGGTCCTGATGTCCAGGGCCCTGGACCTGCGTCCTGCAACAGATAGCAGGGAAAAGTGGGACCCCAGGGACCCAGGTAAGCACAGGCTAGCCAGGCCCCTGGCAGGAGCTCAGGCCAGGCTCCAGGCAGCCCATTCCCCGCCCGGCAGTGATCACCAGCTCCCGTTGTAATCATTAAAACTATTAGAAGGAAGCGTTCGCTTGAAGCAAATGTCAGGCGCCGAGCTGTGCTTTGTAAACGCTCACAATTAATGCCAATCAGGCCCGGAAAAAAGCCGGCCCGGAATCCTGTCTGTTTCGTCTCATTTGTCATCTGGTGCCATTCCATGTTGCACATTTTCATACAATTGCTATAAACATAAAAGGGAAACTCCACAGTGTTCCTGGGCGCCCGGATGGTGCGCGCTGGCTTAATTACTTGGTATTCCGCTGTTCACTTGGCCGCCCTGAGCGGGTGGGAGGGAGAAAAGGGGACTTTTGTATGGCATGGTGAGGGCCCCTGGAGGTCAGTCAGGGAGATGGGTCAGGCTCCAAGCCCAGTTCTCCTGCCCAACTCTTTGTAGGTCGTGTGGCCAACAGAGCTGAGGACACTAATGAAACAAGAAAAAACTGCTAAGATATGTTTGTAATATCTTCAAGGAGAAAAGAAGGACTCAGAGTCCACCAGCCTTGGCTTTGAATCCTGAGTCCGTCTCCTGGAATGATCCATCTGATGTATTGCCTCCTCCTGCAGGGTAGGCACTGTTCTACTTGGTGGCTAGGCCTCAGTTTACCCATCTGTGAGTTGGGGGTAATAGCCTAGTGGTCAGGATTTCAAGCTTGCTGGGACTGGATTCTGGGCTGAGGGCATCAAGCAACATTTTCCTCATTTGGTTGGTTGAGGGAGCATCAAGGCCCAGGGAGCATGAGGCCCAGAGTGTTATGGCTAGAAGTGGTGCTGGGACTTGGACCCAGGTTAAGGAACTCCAGAGCCTGTTGTAACCATTGGCCTATCCTTCCATGCCCTCCCAGGGCAGCCATAGGGTTAAAAGAAGCTAAAAGTCCTAGCATGCGGTAGGTGTTTTCATAAACAGTAGCTGTTGTCCTACAACTGCCTGCAGATGGGCCAGGGCAGTATAGACTCAGACCTTGGCCTGAGGGTCAGTACCCATACGTGTGGACATTGCTGGATGGAGAGTGGAAGATGCAGTGGACTGTGAGGGGTGCCATTCTCCTCCCTCCCCAGGGGGCTGGGCCCATGAGGCTTCCAGGATATGGGAGAGGGAGATGCTGACAGCATGCCTAGCCAGGCCCCAGGAACTCCTGACTGCCTCTCCGTCCCTCAGTTGCCTTAAATCTGGCTCTGAGGTGCTGTTTGCCCAAAAGGCCCTGCATCATCTAACTGAGCCCTCAGCAGCCCAGAGAGTTGGGCATGTTATTATGATTGTCTCCATTGTACAGATGAGAAAACTGAGCTCCAAACTGACCTAAGGTTATAAACCTGGGGAAGCTGGAGCCCAGTTCAGGTTCATCCATTCCCAAGTCTTTTTGACACCTTCCTAGCCCCCTCCTCATCATGGCATGGAGGTGAGGCCTTGCCGCACACTACAAACCCATCCCAGGGCCCTCTCTAGCTCTCTGTGGACAGGGTCTTCTAAGGCCAGGCTGGCTCTGCAGGGACACACCAGCCTTTGTGTAGGCTCGAGTAGGCTCGGGCCAGGCAGAGCCGCCAGTGGAATAGGGAGAGGGCGGTGCAGCCCAGCCGGCCAGGAATAAATGCTCAGAGTGGGGAATAGAGGCCCCTTTGTGTGGTGCTCAGTGGAGGAGGAGGTGCTGCCAGCTGCCACCTTGTGTGACCAGCGAAGCCCGAGCCCTCCACAGAGGTCTGCCGCCACCCCCAGGGGACCTGCCTGGGAGCCTGCCATCTTCTTCCCACTACCTCCTATCACCATGATTCGCCTTTCTCTTGTTTCCTGGGGCCTCTGGCTGCTAGAGGAGCCAAGAGCAGCCATTAACCTGGTTTGCTGTGGACCTAACAGACCCTTCATCAACCCTGCGGGTAAAAGACAGTCATCCCAGGTTACAGGTAAAGATACTGGGGTCAGGGAGGACAGGCGATTTACTTTACTCACACAGCTGGTTATGAGGCCAGGATTTCACCAACTTCGAAGCCTTTTCTTGCTATGGAGTTGCCCTTTGTGCCCTGCTCGTCTCTGGTTCCAGGACCCAGGGCTGCAACTTGAGCTGCCCACCTCAGTTGCCTGGGTGGCCTCCAGAAGGCTGTGGGTCTGTCCCTCGGTGGGCACCAGGCATCCTCTCCATCCCTCTGTCCTGGCCAGGCTCTGGGCTCGTGACTGCAGCTTTAGTGGAGATCAAGGACAAGACCCTGTTAAGGCTTCCCTATCCATTAAACTTCTTTGAGCCTCAGTCTCTTTACCTTAGAAATGGGAATGAAATAGAATGCACCCCCAGGAGCACTGGGGGATGCTGTGCCAGGACAAGGGTAAACGGGCTCTGAGCTCAGCACCTACACATATTCAGACTGCACAAATTTGCTGTTTCTGGCATTCCTACCACCTCCTGGGAGAAATAAGGGGACAAGCTGAGACAGTAGGTTGGTGGCAGGGATGTGTGGGGTAACTCTTAGGAGCATAAGCACATGGCAGGGATTGTCTCATTGGGTCCCTGCCGCAACCCCGTTTTACAGGTAAGCAGACTGAGGCTCAGATGACTTGTCAAGGGTGTCAGGGCCCCAAGAAGCCCAGGAACACAGGGAAGGTGGCTTCCTGGAAGGCCCAGCCCTTAGTCTCCTCTGGACTCTCACCTGGCCCATCGGGCAGCTGTCCATCGCCTACGCTGACCAAGTCCTCTTTTTAAGGCCAGAACCGCACCTAGGAGCCCTCGAGGGCTGCTTGGCTTCCTGTGGCATATTCTGGCAACGTGGCGATTCCTCCTCTGTGACTTCACTCAGGCAGGGCCTTCCATGCACTCCTCTTCCCTGGTAACCCTCCACCCCTCAGTGTGGCGCATAGGAGGCCGCAGTCAGGTCTGAAAGGGAGATGCAGCCCTGGCCCTCAGGGACCTGGTCCCCGCCTCACTGGAGAAACAGGTACAAACAGATCAGTGACAAGGCGGCATCCACTGGGATGGGTTCAAGTGCAGGATGCCCTGGGGGGCAGGAAGCCACCACCCCTGCTCTCCTTCCCCTTCAGGAAGGAATGAACCACTTCCAAGCCCTACTATGCTCCTGAAAACGTGGCCGTCTCATTTTAGTCCTCCTAGGGCAAATCAGGGGTGCTAGAGATGGGAAAAGAGCGTCAGGAAGGCAGATACCAGGTGAGACCACGCAGCTTCTGAGAGTGGAGGCTTGGCCCATCCCACCCCATAGCCTGTGCCCTTCTCCAGGGCAGAAAACTCAGGTGCCCGTGGGGACCAACCCAGTGACACAGTGAACAGAGCCGCTGCTGCTTGGCCTCGTGGGAATGGGCTGAATGGTACCAGAGCTGCTGGTAGTTGGTTTTCAAGAGAAAGTAGACAATGAGAATTTTAGGTGGAATTTTCATTTTTCTTAATATTGGCAACCGTGTCACAGTTTTTTACTGCAGCAAACAGGGCAAAGAAAAGCTGTTTGGGGCGAGGTTTGCACCCTTCAGTGACGTGGTGGTGTCTGAGCGGAGGGCATGACAGGGGTCCCAGGATGTCTCGCCTTCCCCATCCCTGGCCAGCAAGAGTAGCTTTGAGCAGTAGCACCCCTTAAGACACCCCCAGATGCTTTCTCTACCGCCAGAGGCAGGAGGCAGGGCCTGAGCCCTGTGAGGGCACCACCCAAATAGCTATAATCAGCAGCCTCGCCAAGACTTCAAACTCACCCAATTATCCTGCAAGAGAAAAAAAACACAAAATGAAAACAAATTAACATGTTTGCATAGAAGCCGCTGCAGCAACACACACAGACGCGTGCACGCACATGCTGGCGCACGCCCCAGCAAAGCTCAGAAATGCTGCCACCCCTCTCTAGGTCTGGCACCCACCCGGCAGGGCTGGGCTGGGCCAGGCGGTCCTTACTGCCCAGGGCCAAAATGTGCCCTAAGCCCAGAGACTAGATTGTCCCTAAGCTTCAGTAGGCAGTGTCTCAGTCTGTCAGCTTTCAGTGTCTTCGTGTTTATTCGATTTAATAAACACATGAGATGCCTTTTGTGCCAGAATTTAGCCTCATTGATCTGATGGGGAAACCAAAGCCCAGAGAGGTTCATTGACCTGCCTGAGACTGCACAGCTGGCAAGTGGAAGAGCTGGGGTTTGAACCCAGACAGGCCAGCTCCAGGGTGCCCATTGTAACCACCACACCTCCATAGTTTTCTCTTGTCTGTGGATGATGTGCCAAGACCTCAGCCCAGCCTTCAAGGGCCCTCCCCGACCCAGCCCTTCCAGCCTGTGTCCATTCTCTCACACACCCTACCCAAACTGCCTACCCCCACCCTGTGTGCTCTCTCATGCCCACATATGCAATCTACCAGTCCCTTACTGGATGGCTTTGGGCAAGGGGCTTCCCCTCTCTGTGCCTCAGTTTCCCCTCTTGGAAGATTGGGATAATAATAGTCCCTACCTCAGAGAGGTTAGGGGGATTCAGTGGATGAATAACTGCTAGGTACTACCTCTGACATCTCCCCATGGTGGGTGGTTCCTGCACCAGAACGCCCTTCCCCATCCCTGCACTACGCAGTTGGCCCTGTGAAGCCTGGCTCACCCAACTCACTGAGTCCCTATTGGGTGCTTTTGGGCTCCATGCAAGGTGCTGCCCTTGCTCCCAGAGCTCACAGTCAAGGCATTCAGATGCTCCCTCTTGCAGAAAGCTGCTCCTCCTTGGAACAACCCCGCTTTTCTGGGCTCCCTTGAAGCTCCATGCAGGTTGCCAGGCACGTGCCTAACCACCCCGGCAGTGCCTGGTTCTTCTCTGGTCCCAGCAGCCCAGCACATGGCAGTCCTTGGGCAGGCGCTGGGGAATGGAGCCATAGCCTCTCCCATGCTCACCTGGGAATATCTGGGGCTCAACCCTGGGAGGTGAGGGGTTGGACTTCAGGTCTCAGAGCTAAAGGGTCCCCAGGCCAGAGCTGCCGATGCCTCCCTGACTGTGGACAAATCCCTTTTCCTCTCTAAGCCTCTTACTGTCATCTTTAGCCCGTGACGGAGGAAGCTGAGGGTGGACATTGCCAGCACGGGGAGCGCCCAGTGGATAGTGGATTTCAAGGAGCTAAGAGGAGCCATGCTGAGAGTGGCCACTGCCACTGAGTGTGGGGTGACATATTCCCAAGTAGTTCCTCACCATGGGCGGGCGGGAGGTGTGCCTCTGTTTTTCACATGGTGCTCTGTTTTTCACATGGAGAAACTGAGGTCCCAAACGACTCAGTGACTAACTCGAGAGTCCTGCTGATCAGTGCCAACACTATAATCCTAGGTGTGTGCTTTAGCCGCAGTGCTGTTGGGCCCTTCCTGGATGCCACTGGTTCAGGGCTAAAGGGGACAGTGTCTCTCAGACCTAGAGAATAAGGACTAGTAGGATGCCATCCTGGTTGTGGTGGTACAGGGCTGACTTTATTGGCCTCAGGACGGCCCCTTTGACATCAGCCTCTTGGCCTGTAGTCATGCTGACCATTCAGGGCCAGAGGAGGTGACCCAGTGCCTGCACAGGAATAGCCAGTGGGACATTGGGTGCCCACTTGGAATCCCAGCCCTCCCTTGGCATGGCCCTGCCACAGGCTTGAGAATCCAAAAGACCCAGTTTCATGTCTAGAGCCCACCAGGTGTTCTCTCTGAGCCTCTGCTCCCTGCTGGAGAATATTCAGTGTTGGTGTACCCACACCTCTCAGGATGGGTTCTAGGCTGAGACATGGCACCCAGCACATGGCCGCTACTAGATAAAACAGCCCCCTGCCCAGACCTCCTGAGGAAGGAGCACCCCCGTTCCTCCAGAAGCTTCCCAGCTCTTGAGCATCCACAACATGGCTGGGGATAGGGCTCGTGTTGCCTCCCAGCTCAGGCCCCACTCACCCACCTGCATTGATAAGCACCTACTCTGTTCTCTGGGGGCCTAGATGTTCCAGATGTACACAGGGATTTCTTGGATTGAGGTGGTAAAATGCAGTGAAATGAGAGGGGAGAGACCCAGAGGGCAGATGACCAGAGAGGAGAGGAGAGCTGTGAATACAAGGAGTGATGGGAAAAGAAAAGCCCCAACACATCCCTCTGGTTTGTGTGGATTTATTGAGCATCTACTAGGTGCCTGGCCTTGAGATAAAGGAGACTGAACATGGGCCATGCAGTCTGTGTGGACCCAGCCTTCTTGCACAGGGCTGTGGAGAGGGTCTCAGTAAGATGACATTAGTACTAAGTGTTGAGAGCCTGGGATTGTACACAAGGAGATTCAAACCCCTGCCCTGTCCCGTCGGGGTAGGAGCCAGTTCCTGCGGCTGTCATGGAGCTCTGTATGGCAGGGAGCATGGCCTCTTCCTGCCCAACCTTCTGAAGTTCTGAGAACAGAAGCTGGGGGGAGGGGTGCACAAGTCATCAGGAAAAGGTTCTTTTTCCTTCTCCATTTCAAAAGTAATATTCATCTTTTAGCACTTGGAACTGACAAGTCTGATGAAGAAAGATTCAGCCATTACCCAAGTGCCCAGAGCTAAGCACTTGGTCCCAGTTTGGGGACATTCTTCCCAGGTGTTGGCCATTTGGGGAGTGTCTGATTTTGGCTTGCATCAATGACCATTGTGGTCAACCAGGGCTCATGTGAGTTGGTACATGGATGTGGCTAAGCCTAGGGCCTGGCCCCAAGGAAGAGCCTACTACACGCTAAGCCTTCTCTGGGCCCCGTGCCAATCGGCACTTTCCAACCTGAGCTTCTGGGAGCACCCTGGCCGACTTGCCCACCCTCCCAGCCCCCCATCGTCTGGTGTGGGGGCTCAGAGCAGTCGTTGTGCTGCACACATCTGATCCTGTCTTTGCCACATCAGATCATTTGTAACCGTCACCAGGCAATCGGGCCTGTTGCTGATTCAATCTCGTCTTTGTGCTGTCACAGCCATTTTTCTGTGCTGGGCTGATTTTGAAAAGGAGGCCCATCCTTTGGGCCTGCTTTATCAGAAGCAGGGAGGGATTTTGGTGGGGGCAGTTGTGTGTGTGTGTGTATGTGTGTGTGTGCATGCACTCACACACATGCACACACGTTCCTCACATGTGCATACACACACATGTACAGGCCTCTGCCTCTTGTCACTGAGAGTAGAATTTAGAATGAGGTGGGTAGACAAGGGCTGTGAGCTGCCATCACCATTCCTACCCAAGCACCTACTGTGTGCCCCGGTGTGCAAACACAGCAGAGTCTGTGCTCTGGTAGACAAAATACATGTTAAGCCATTCACCAATAAGATAATTTCAGGGTAGTAATGACAGTTAAAGAACTGCAGTGGTGGTGGTATAGTGGTGGGGGCAGAGGGTTGCCAACTTACAGTGGTCAAGGAGGGCCTCTTGGAGGAGATGATGTTTGAGTTGAGGCTTGGATGAAGAGACAGACTTGTCATAGATAGCCATCCATCCTAACTGAGATGTCCTATAAGTAGAAAATCTACCCCAGATTTCAAAGATTTAGTATAAAAAAAAAACCACAAAATATCTCTCTAGCAATTTCTGAATATTGATTACATCTTGAAGTGATATTATTTTGGATATATTGGGATAAAATAAAATATTAGTAAACACAATTTCCCCTGTGGGTCCTAGAAAATTTATAATTAACTTATATTTCTGTTGGAGAGCATTGGTGTAGTCTTTAGGTAGAGACAAAACTGTAAGTGCAAAGGCCTTGGGTGAGACCAAGGTTGGCCTGTTAGGCCCAGGGTGAGCGAGAGGAGAGGAACAATGTGGGTAGAAAGCAGGGAAGGAGTTCATGCAGGCCCTCAGAGGATATTGCTAGAAAAATGCCATAGAAGCCAGTGGGGGAGTTTTGGGTTTCACCCAAAGGGTGTGAGTTTCACGTGGAAAAGCTCATCCTGGCCCCTGCAGGGTGGACAATGGGTAAAGGGGCCTGTGCAGAGTCTGGGAGGTGATGGGGCACATGGTCAGGGCAGGGGTCTGTTGAAGAAGAGTTGCCGAAAGGACCTGCTGAAGGGTCGGCTAGACTGGACTTGGCTCCCCAGAAAGCTTACTGCTTCCCTTGGCTCCTGGATTTTGAAGCCTCTAGGCCTTCCCTTCCTGGTGCCTCCCTCCCCGCACATCCCCACCTTCCCTGGCTGCTGCTGCCTCATCCCTGAGCAGCTGCTCTCTGTCATGTCAGCGATTCACAGTACGCCCCAGCTCCTTGTCTCCAGGTGGTCAGTGGTTGAAATCCCTTTTGAAAGTTATTTTTAAAAAAACAGAAGTGATGTGTGTTCACTGTAGAAAAATTAGCAATACAGAGAAGCACAAAGAAGAAAAATCAAACTCCCAGGAATAGACATAGTCAGATGACCAGGCTGATGCAGAACTGGGGTTGAACCCAAGGGGGTCTGGTCCCTACACCCCAGTGCTGCAATCATGGTACCCTGTGACTGGCACGAAGGGAACCCCCCCACCAGAAAAGGGCTTAGAAACTTGGCAGCCCCAGTGCAGCTCTCAGCAGAGGGCAGGAACTGCCCCCCTGGCCCACATATGATTGGGGTTTGCTCCCAGGGGGTAATATGTTTGTGTGATACATATGTTTTATCTCTCTCACACACACACACTGTTGTCAGGCTAGTGTGTGCTCTGTCCTATTTCTCTGCCTCTAGCTGGAAGGATACTCATTTCTGCTTCACCCTGACCCCCAA